GAACACTGTGCACACACAGATATAGATATAGATACATATACGTAAGCATGGTCGGTTACTTAGAACTCTCTGCGTGTGTGTTTGTGGTTGTTGAGTGGGCTGCTACCTCTGACTCATGCTCCTCTTTTCATTGATGATCATGCCAGGCAGCGCGAGTGCTCCTGTGATGTCAAAATCAACCAGGAGAGGAGAGTAAAAATGAGAAGATCCAAATTCCAGCTGTGAGTATTCCTGGATCGAGGTTGTTTTGTCTGCCTGCCGGCTCTTATTTAAAGATCAAAGTATCGTGTTCGCTGGTGGACTGTTTTTCTGTCCCACCGAGGCAGCGTGGCAGCAGGGTCTGGGGTCAAAGTGCACACGTGTTTGTAGGATGCATCCTCTGAGAACAGCAGAGTTTTACATCATGTATCTGTGCATGATCTCAGGTCGTGCTCATTGCCTTTGACTTCTAAGCACTGCTCAGCGACTCGATTTGCCTCACACAAATTTGTTCCACTTTGTTTGAGAGGAGCTCATGTGGTTGTTGTACTTTTCAATAAGCTGCAGCAGAGAAGAAGTCATTTGCAGTGGTTTTTTTAGTAGATAGTGGTTACAGAGGTTCTGCTTAGTGGATTTTATTTCCGATACGTAACAAATAAAACATACAGTCATCGCCATGAGCTCTCATGTTCTTGTATATTGTGCGTGCATAACTTTGGTCCATTGTCCCCAAAAGAGATCTTTTGAACTTGCAATATATATATTTTTTAATACCAACAGAGGTCAAATGTATCGCAGTCTCGAGGGTCAGTCAATAAACTGCAGCTTGTCCCCTTGTTATGAAGCTTCTGAAACAAAACTTCCACCGGTATTCACTGTTCCTGCGTTAAATCTTTCGCTACTGGTCACTGAATTTGAAGAATGTTTTTATTTCACTTTGATCTGAAGCTCATTTTCATACCCAAAGGTGTCACTTCAGGAAGATGTCCATTTATTGGTGTAGGCGAAGCTGCGTTGTGGGCGGAAGCGAGTACGATCACTGAGGTCGCAGCAGCGAGAAAACCTGAATATAATGCTGTAAGTTTCCACATCGAGTGTTTTTACCAAGAACTCTGTCTATAAGATTTCCTCAGTATGTGAAAATATAATCAAGCCGTTTCTATTCGATTTCATTTTATATACACTTTTACTAGTTGGACCCCTTGTAGTTTCAGAAGTGCCTCAATTCGTTGTGTAGATGGATACATTTTGGTTCATAGGGAGTCACATGGTTACTGCGTGACAACGTGAATCTCCCGTTCCAGCAGACCCCAAAGACGCTCTGCTGGGTTGGGATCTGGCGACTGTGGAGGCCATTTGAGTACAGTGAACTCATTCACGTCCAAGAAACCAGTTTGAGATGATTTGAGCTTTGTGACACGCTGTTCGGCCAAAGGCAGCTGTCGGCCATAGATTGAATGACACGGTCAGCAACGATAGCAGGTAGGCTGTCATGCTCACTTGGTATTAGTGGAAGAAAGTATCTCCCACACCATTACACCACCACTATCAGCCTGAACCGTTAATACAAGGCAGGATGGATCCATTCGTTTTTCAGGCCTTTCTTTATAAACCCCAGGGATGAAATCTAGCAGGGATGCATCAGTAGGTTCTGAACCGAGGAGGGGTCGTGGCAATGGTCATGACAATTTGCACATAAATCCTCATGAAACTGGTCTAGATTTGCTCTTTTACTGTTTATTAAGTTTATGAAGTTATTTCTGAAACAGGGTTGAGTCTTACACGTATTCGTTTTCTGGATGAAATGAACTGTTCCATGTTTGAATAAATAAATATTGGAGTGTTGCCAGGTTGACTGTCACTCTTTAGTAATTACTAGTTACTACTAGTTACTTGAAATCACACATTTAAATAGTTGAGCAGCGCAGTCCTAATTGCACTTTGTGCAATGAAACCCAAATATGTCTCAGGCTCACTTGATACACATCTGTCTCGTTTCCGTTCCACCCTGAAATGAAAATGAGAAGTCTCTCTCTCTTTTTTCCTCTCGACGTGCTTTCAGCAGGTTAGTCCTTACAGTGGGAGGAAGGCACACAAACTCTGAGATAACCAAGAGAGAACTATTGTAATGAGTGTCAGCGTTGGTCTGTTTGGCTATGACTCAAACTGCCGGTGCGCCGATGGTTTTAACGACCGTTCGACAGCCTGCTGTGGGGTTTTCACCTGAGAGTAGTAACGAGTGATGATGTGGAACTACGCACACACTCGCAGTTTCATTCATCAAATATTTCAGTAACACATGCAGTGTTGGCAGCGCTCACCTCAGCCAGTACTTTCATGTCTTCATGAAAATAGACGATGTAGAGAATTAGTCAGAAAGCACAACTGACCACAGTATCGAAGCGTACTTATTTAGTCAAGAAAAATACCCCAGTGGGGGACTTTTACCTGACTGCATTTAATGGGAAACACTATTAAAGAGCTCTGCTCAAACAATCTTAATCATCATCCAATCGTTTAAATATTTGCTATAGTTTGGGAGTTTTTGACGACCTCACTCTGCAGATTAGCGAAACGAGCTTTGGAGCTGCAGTGCAAATGCGGGCACTAGTTTGGGTGAGGATATGCCTTAGGTGGAGCAAGTAACCGCAGTGACTGATTGTGAGATGCTGATGGACTTGTCTGTCACGGCAAGCTGTCCTCAACAGTCAAATACTTGAAGCTTTCTTTGGATGAAAGTTTAATTTCTTTTGCTTCACATGCCGGCAATGTCACGCTGCAGCAAGGTAGGTGGATTATGTCTGACTAGAAATCTGAAAGAGGATTCATCAGAATTACTGGAACCAATATTTAATTCCTCATTTTTCTCTCGATGTTTCTGCTCTGATGTTTGATAGCAGCGTCTTTCAGTTTGGGCGAGGAGGATGTGTTGTGTTCACTGTACTCACTTTTACATTTATCCAGATGAATTAGCAGGACTGAATCGAATGTGTCGTCTTTGACTTGATCTGAAACGATTCTTATATATTTAAACATTAAAATAACCTTCATAGCAAACCTCAGACATGAATTCAACTTGTGAACCTGTAACTGCTTGTGAAAGTCGTGGACTTTCAGAATTGAAATGAGGTGTTTTCCCTTCATTTTAGTGCAGCTGTTGGAGTTTTAACAGTGAAATATGAGAAATGTGATGCAGGTTTATGTTATACAGCACTGTTCACTTTTAATACAGGGAACAACAGATGGGTGTCCGAGGTGGGGCTTGTGAAGGGTTGCTGTGTGCTGAGATAAATAGCCACATAAGTGAAAAGGCAGGCACAGTGAGAAGATTGAGAGAAAAGCCCTGCATGTCAGTGTGTGTGTGTGTGTGTGTGTGTGTGTGTGTGTGTGTGTGTGTGTGTGTGTGTGTGTGTGTGTGTGTGTGTGTGTGTGTGTGCTGAGTGCAGTCAAAGTTTCACGCTGATGCCAAAAAGCACATTCCTGGCAGCTTCCAGAGCATCTGTCAGATGCACCTCAAGAACATGATGCAGCAGAACGCCCTGAGATTAAACCACACACACACACACACACACACACACACACACACACACACACCTAACCACAGCTCCAAGAGGGCTGGGAGGAAAAGGAGGATTGTCATAGCATTGCCTTATTTAGCACTGGTGGTGATTGACGTCTCCCTCCAGCCAGTGATATGCTGACTATGCCCTCCTGGCTGTGCTCATGTTAACACTGCATTACATTAATGCTCAAAAGTCACTGAAGCTGTAGCACGTCCCTGAGCCAGCGGGCTGCTCTACATTTCACTCTCGTGCATGGCTGATATTCCTCTCTGTCAAACCCTGGGGATAAATGTCTGTGAGTCCAAGGGCAACGAGAACAATGCTACCTCTGTGCTGCTCTGCAACCAGGGCCGTGTGCCTTCTCCCTCAGTCCATCACACTCTGCAGGTTTGTCCCCTTGGTGTGGGAAACCAGCAGTCAGCAGCTCAAGTGTCAGCTGTTGGTCACAGGATTTCATCTTTCACTTGAAATTAAAAATTCAGTTGTGCAGAAAGTGAAACATTGTAATGACGTTACAGTCTTACAGCCTTGCACGCTCCATCGACCTCTGGATAAACTAAGGCTTCAGTCACATGGGCCTAGAGACGAGTTGGTGACCCCTGGCAATCTCCAGTCGCTAAGGAAAAATGTGTATTCCCCAAGTGGGTGATGACTTGTTGCTGCCCCTGCGTGAAACTGCCTGCAAAGAGGGCTTTGTTTGCACCAAAAACATCATTGCAGTAGCTTCAGTTGCTATCAGATTGCCATGGTTGCCGGTTTACAACACTTGCTAGCTAACCATTGAACGGTTAGCTAACCTAATGAATATTTCTTAAACTTTGTTTTGTATTTGTAGGTTTATACATCATGCTAACACGTGTTAAAGATTACAACATTTTTGCAAAGCTGGGCTCGAGTGATTTCATCGATTCTGGACTCTGTGTAGCAGCCGCCATCGTGTTTCCTGGAGCCAGACTTACTGCTGACTTAAGCTTCACACGTGTTCTCAGTGGAAGTCGCTCTTTGCTCTTCACCTGCTAGCTTAAGCTAAATCTTTATTAAGCCTGTCCAAAGGTCCCACACGTTACACTCCGATGAGTCATGCTTCATCTCATCACATTTCCATCTTCCACGTCCCCATCCTAAACAATTTGCATCATGTGCTTTAATGCATATACGACCAAGCAGCAGGGAGGAGGTTAAAGGTCCGAGCTGGTGATTCTGTCGAGATGCAGAGGAGAGCTGTGTCGTGAAAATCCCATCTGAAGAGAGAAGCCGATATATGATTCTCTTAATCTGATTGCATTATGTGTAATTCATGGCTTCAGTTCTTGCCCTGTCTGTGTTTATTTATGTTGAATGGCGTTTATGTAACGTCTGCATCGTTTTCAGCGAGGCTGACTGACTGCTGATCACTACAAAGATGCTGTTTCACAGCGACTTCTTATGTAACCGTGTGGTCTCTCTCTCTTTCTGCAGGCTCTGCTGGAGGCAAATGCATGCTGCAGACGCCTTTTGGGCTTCAAATCAGCAAACGGCACTGGAATGACGCACCCCTGGCTAAAAGGTCCGTGTGTGTTTGAGCGTCTTTGTACGATACACTTCTTGTAATCATGTCTCCAGTTCATTAAACACCAGGATGAAAATGCATTTCATGGTTCAACCTGACGTGTGTTAGGTCTTTGTGCTTCTCCTCTCTGATGTTTACCTGGCTGTGGAACGAAAAGAATGTGTGTGTGGGCGAACAGCGTGATCCCACCTGTTGTGAAACTGTGTGTATGTGTTCCCGTGGCCCTTACACAGCATGCCACTCCCTCACACTGTGAACTTTGCCTCCTTACCACACTGCGTGGCCTTTACAGCTTAGTTTTGGGTGTGTGTGTTTGCCATCATGCATCACGTGAGCTGGACAGGAAGATGAGAATGTTGAGAGATAAATTGAGGGAGATGAGTGACAGGAGGAAATGAGGAGCATCAAATCTATTGTGTTGAGGGCTTGGTTTAGTGGGTGTTTACTCTGATCGGAACAGATAAAGTGAAAGAAAGGAAGTACATCAAAGTGTTTGAAGCTTTAAAATTTATCTTGAGCTGTTGGTGAAGTGACATATATACTAGCTGGGTATGTAGGTCCTTTCTGCAATAAAACATAGGTGTGGGGTTTCTTGCAAACTGAAACAGAGCTCACACAGTTGGCACTATTCACACGTCCTCAGTGCCACACATTTATTTTCTCGCACAGTGAAAAGAACAAATTCATACGTGGTAACGTCGACACTGACAAGACAGAGCAGGCAGCGTGTTGCAAAAGCAGCAGCGAGTGATCCTCACCAGCCAGGAGAAAAGCACAAATATCTCATCTGTTGCACTGCAGTTTGTTCCCCTGCATGCTGGTCGCAGTATATCACAGCTGAGAGCTGTTTCAGATTTGTGGTTAAACATATAGAGGGTTTCAATCACGCCATCTGATCCCCGTGTCGACTTTGTTCCTGTGGCATCACCAGAGTGTTTGTCCAGAATCAACACTGGAGCTGATGTCATCTGTTAGCATTAGCCAGGAAGTTAGCTAATGCTCTTAAAACATCACAAGAAAGCCAACTGGAGTAACCTAAATTTGGCTAACATGAAACCCAGGATTATAATATATTAGTTATAGCTCATAGATTAATAAAGAAAACACCTGAAAGTCTCATTATTTGTTCCAGAAGAGACTTTTATATCAACAAAGGTTTCCTACAAATTCCAATGCTATGACATCACAACGTTACAGTGTTGATCGTGGACCAGCGTTATTATGGTGATTATTAGGAACAACACAAATATGCATATATATTAGATACACAGTTTTAAACATGCTCCAAATCATCTATCAACTATTCTTGATGCATTCCACAGCTCACTCCATCTGAATAATCTGACAAGTGCAAGCTGGTGTTTCATGGCTTAATCCTAGAGAATATATTTGTATAATGAGAGACAGCATTTAGAACTGCTAGAAAATATATAGTCCATCTATTGTAATATACCCTTTCACCACAGGGTTGAGCCTTTCAGGTAGTTTCAGGTGTAAACGTTAAGGCGCTGACTCTGCTAACAGTGACAGTAAGGATGATAAACGCTATATGAGGCTGATGCTAATGCTAAATTAGCACATTGAACAGAAGCAACCTGGGCTGACAGTGATCAGCAGATATTAGCTGTAGCTGCTAACACTATTTGGGATTGTATTCATGAACAGTATGTGTTCAAAGTAGACGGTATGAAAGATGGACCCATCCATCAGGTCTGAGAAATTAATGAATAATTTACTGTTTTTATATAAAATGCTAATTTCAGCTGGTAGAAAAAAAGCCCCTAAAAACTGATTGTACTAAGATTTACTAATGTGTTGGACTCGCAGGAACTGTTTTGGTGTGGATAAAAGTACTGCCAGTATTTACAAGATTATGTAAGATTTTCAGTTCAATTCAGTTTTATTTATACAGCGCCAAATCACAACAACAGTGTGAAAAACTCCTTTTAACAGGAAGAAACCTCCGGCAGAACCAGGCTCAGGGAGGGGCGGGACCATCTGCTGTGATTGGTTGGGGTGAGAGAAGGAAGACAGGATGAAGACATGCTGTGGAAGAGAGACAGAGATTAGTTGCATATGTATTTGTGCAAATGAGTTCCTTTCTCAAGGTGAAAATATAAGGAGGAGAATATTGAAATCATACATGCAAACTGTGTGACACCCCCACCCTAACCACCCCTACTGTAACTTTTCAAAATCACCTATAGACCTAACCACACCCATGGCTGCTGTTTGAACATTTACAGATCTGAACTGATCTGTGCTAATGAGCTCAACTCGTCGTCTTTGCGATGGCGTCCTTGTCTCAGCAGATTGCCAGTTGGTTTTGTTCTGATTATATATAAAAAAGCAAGCTGACTTTGTGCTGAGTGTCTTTTTGTAACTGTTTGTGCTTCAGACCTGTGAGGCCGGCCTGAGAGTGTGAGAAGTTGATGTGAATTTCAGTTTAACTGAGTTTCTGTGTATGCAGTGTTGTTTTTTTACAGCTAATCGCTGTATTATCACAAACGGATTTCACGTTAATGCCGACTGGATTGTATTTTACTGCTAACCGGCAGCAAACAGACGGATTCGGCCTTATCGGTATCTCATCAGCATCTCGATGCACCAACGTCGCTTTGAAGCTGGTTGCTGACAGTGAGAGGTCACAGACCCAGCCGGTGCACGTCTTTGAAATAGTTACTTCACAGGTAATGAAATCACACGTTCCATGGACATCGTTGCAATAATGCGATGGTGTGGTCTGATCCACTGTTTTCCATAGTGCCAGCGTGAAATTAACGTAAGCATCACCGTTCACCTGAATTTCTATTTGAGCGTGCCCGACACATCAGTCGGCTAACACCTCGGAGCGCTTTTCATTTCAGTGTAAGAGTCAGGAAAATCATGGAAGCGGAACTATGATGGAGTGACACAGAAGTGGGTAAAGGTTCAACGTGAGCGCACGGCTGGCTGGACAAACACACACGTATGTTCTGTGTACACACACAAAGGGTCAGCTGTGGTGTGTGGTGATGATTATATCGAGTCTGCGTCATGCAATTTACGACTTCCCACCATCGAAACTGAATTCCGATGGAATTCCGGATCTCCAAGTCACTTCCTTCTGTGTACTCGCACCTGCCGCACAGCCCACGCTGTGTGAGGGTGAACCACAGGCATGCTTCTAATGCTTCGTGTACTGTTCTGTTATTTGAGGACGCAGCATTTGTCTGCAGTGTGGCTGGCTTAGAGCTCTCTCATACAAACACTCTAAAATCCCGAGTGCAGATAGATAAGATGGATGGGAGGCATAGGTGGGGGTTAGCCTGTTGAGTCACAGATAGTATGATGACACTTTGAGTAGTGTTGCACTATGAATGATAGCACACAGGCATGAGGCGCCGTAGAGCCAGAGAGGCTGAAGGGGAAAGGAGTGAGCGGAGCGTGGACGCAGTGTGAGTGTTGTGTATGACTTATTGTTCTGTCTGTACTTTCCAGGTTTACACAGCTTGTTTTCATGTAATTAGGCCACTGAAAACTCTAAATTCTGATTAACTTTCTTTCCCTGTGTGGATCAAGTACTTGGATCTTTTGCTTGAGTAGGAGTAACATCATATCCTAAAAATATGTTCTAGTATTATCACCATCAAAAGACACCAAAATAATGGCTGATATGTAGAATGACCCCCTTTCACATTTGTGTATGTTTTATTATAGTTGTTGATAGATTCACATGTTCATCACTTAAGCTGTGACTGAGGTATTATTACACCTTGATTGTATGTGGACACACCCACTCCAGGGGGAGCTACTGAAAATAGGCCATGAGTACAGTGTGTTTGGCTTAGGCCGGATTGAGTCACGCAGTTGGGATCAGTTTCCTCCGACCCAGGACTCCCAGTTTGAAGTCTCGTCTTTCACACTGTAAACGTCTGATGTTTTCCTATCCCAGAATTCATAGCGCAGCCCAGCCAATTCCAGTTTCCAACAATGGCGGCAGCTACTTGTTTTAATATTACTCTTATTATTCTTTCTGGGTCACAAAATAAACTTTTAACATATTTTCAGAATGTAGCTGTGTAAACTTCAAATATCTCCTCGGTTTATCAAGACATCACATATTTGCAAAAGTGCTCCGACCTTTTCGGAGACGTCTGTTACCCACTAGCTCGATAGCTAGCCGGGAGCTCGAGGGTCTCTAGAGCCGGCGAGAACAGCGAACTCCTGGCATGTCGTTTTCTGACCCCCGTGGTCTTTGGCTACTTAGGTTAAACATGATTTATAAGTCACTTGCACTTACTCATAACTTTAAAATGTTATTGTTTGGCTTTTTTTTAGTATTTTATTTGTTCCTGAGTAAATCGGTTTGGCTGAGATTAAAGTTAGTTTTCACGCAGCTGAATAAACGTCAAACAGAAAACTGATTATCAGAAGTGTGAGATGCTCCAGAACTTACTCCGGTGTCCTGTTATATTTTAGATAGCAAGGAGCAGACGGCTGAGTTTATTAAACTTCACCAAAACAATCTGCAAATGTCATTAAAAGTTTAATAAACTATCATCTTGTCTTTATTTTTAGTGAGCACCTTAAACACTTAAAGCTGTAAGCTAATGATAGTTATATAAGAGCAGACGCTGCTGGTGCAAGAAGCGCTGCGCTTCACGTCCAATGATCTGATTAGTCAACTATCAAAATAATCGTTTGTGGCAGCCCTGATGTCCAGGCTGTTGTGACACCATCACATGGTGGATCACACTCGCTAACTCTTTATACAAAGATTGTGGTTCATTAACAGAAACACTCTGGAGGCAGACAGAGTATGGTACGGGCTGCATTAATGTACCGAGCCGCAGAAGGCTTCAGTGTTTTGTGCACCCACCATCCACCCAGCAGCTCCTTCTGCAGGTTCTTATGCTGATCTCCAGTCACGCATTTCATTCATGTTAAAGAGTTGCCTTCAAACATCATCCACTTGTCTTTCTTCTAAAGGAAAGCAGAGACATGGCTCAGATTTG